TGTAGCTCATCTCAAGGCAATGAGTCATTCAGTAACATTGTTGCTAATAAACATCCGGAGAACCGACACTGTGCAGCATCAGAGTTATTAGATTTTAGAGTAGCTAGTGCTGTTTGCCACAAGAATCTTGGTTTTCAGTACATAGTTAAAGTAAACGAAAAACTTTTACTTTCACCTGGTAGCTACACAAAAAAATATCGTGCTAATAATGAAATAATTCATCAACGTAGATTAAAAATTCAGAAAACCAAAGAAATTAAACGTAAAAGACTTTCTACAAAGCAACGCAGGAGTACGAAAGATTCTACCGTTGAAAATCGAGAAGGTATTACCTATTTACATTTCTTCAATCTATTAGTGGTAAAGCTATTCTCACTGCTCATAATAGGATCAGGTATTTCGTTCTGAGTATACTTTTCTATTTTACTTCAAAAATAATTGTTCTGTGATGTATATAATTGATTTTATTTACAAGTTCGAATTTAAACAAATAATTAACATTGTATACTGAGATAACATGTTCTTTAACTTTTTTCAATAGATTTGATGCTCTTCGAATACTTCAACAAGTAAAAAAACTTAATCTTCTGAAAGAATTTCAAGATATTGTTGAAGGATTCACTGACACTTTGCAGATATTCCAAATAAGTCTACCGGATAGGAAAAAAAAAATGTATATATCAAAAAGAGCTTACTCTGGATTTACTTGGTCCTAATTCCGCTGAAAATCTACATGATGCTTCTGTTGATATTTCTGTGTTAGCAATGCTTTTGGAGAAAGTTAATATTAATACAGATACAATTAAACGACATGCTAAAAGTGTAGTTTACATTTTAAAATCAGAAATTCTGTCAATTAATGCATCTATAAATAGGGCTTCATTAGTGACCTTAAAAGGAGTTTCAAATAATATGAAATTAAAAATTGCAAAAGCTGGCATTAATTTAGATATGCTTCAACAAGCTTACACCCAAAGTGGAGGAGAAGGTGTAAGATTATTACTGAGAGAAGATGTAGGTGGTAAACCTCGTGTTACAAAAAATAAGACAATTTTAAAATCCATATTGCTCAATTTTAATAATATGATTGATTCTCAATGTAAAAAAAAATAAACATTATTCATTACATTATGTTACTCATTATGTTTTAAACAGCAAATAACTGGCGCGCTTTCAAATGATAAGCGTATAACTGTGCGACGTTGCCAAATCTATTCCTCTTCATCTTACGGTTTAAAATTCGTGAATTTTTGTCACTTAAAATTAAAATATTTCAATAAATAATTCAATAACTATAATTTTTAACTCCCCAGTGGGAAGTTATAGTAATGGGTCCGATTTTGCGAATCGCTAATTTTAACATATCTCCACGTTTTAAGGTCCCGCGAATCCAATACGACCGTTTTCCAGTGGACGTCTGTGTGTGTGTATGTACGTATGTGCGTATGTTCGTATGTTCGTACGTGCGGTCGAAATTATTTTTCGCCTCGATTATCTCGAGAACAAAAAATGATATCGATGTGGGGCCAACTGCATTTGACACGTAATTATGTAACTTAGAACTGATTAGATTTTCAGCAAAATCGGTCCAGCCATTTTTTATGCAGAATCAAAAAACTGAAAAAATAGTGAACTACCTAAATTCTGCAATTTATAAATTATACCATTTTTTAGACGGAATTCCGAGATCTTTTAAAAAATATGAATATCAAATGTTTAGAATAATTGTACAGAAATATGATGACAGTATTTCATAGGAAAAAAAATTTTTAAAAAACGAAATCAGCAATAAAAAAATTTTAAACTTGTGTTGGGATGGAGAAAATAGCGTTGAGGATAATAAAATAGTCAATGATTATTGTTAATAATAATAAATTGTGTTCATAACGATTGAACATTGTTAATAACAAATGATTATCGATCATAATAATATTTGAATAAAAAATTTTTTAATTGTTATAAACAATAGAAATAGAGATCTATGCAATATATTTGAATTCTTTTAACGCGTAATTTTTTCTTTTGCTAAAAAAAAGTTACCAACCGTACGACATGAATGGAAACTCATTCTTTTTGTTTATAACAATTAAATCTGTTATAAACAATGAAAATAGAGATCTATGCAATATATTTGAATTCTTCCAACGCGTAATTTTTTCTTTTGCTAAAAAAAAGTTAATAATAAATGAATTCGAAAGCCTATTCTAGAATGAATCGACAGTTTTTACGTGGACGTCTGTGTGTGTATGTACGTATGTGCGTACATACACACACACAGCGAATTCCAAATTTTGACATATCTCCACGTTTCAAAGTCCCCAGAGTTGAATACGATAGTTTTTACATGGACGTCTGTGTGTGTGTATGTACGTATGTGCGTATGTGCGTATGTTCGTACGTGCGTTCGGAATTATTTTTCGCCTCGATTATCTCGAGAACAAAAAATGATATCGATGTGGGACCAATTGCATTCGACGCGTAATTCCGTAACTTAGAACTGAAAATGTTTCCGGGAAAATCGGTAAAGCCATTTTTTTGGCAGAATCAAAAAACTGGAAAAAAAGGAAATTACTTGAATTTTGCAATTTATAAATTATACCATTTTTTAGACAAAATTTTAAGATCATTGCAGAAATATGAATTTTTAATGTTTGGAATACTTGTATGGATATATGATGACAATATTTTATCGAAAAAAAAAAAATTTAATAAACAATATCAGCAATGAAAGAATTTTAAACTCGTGTCAGGAATGAGAAAACAGCATTAAAGACGCTATAATAGTCAATAATAATTGTCAATAATATGGAATTGTGTTCATAACAATTGAACATTGTTACTAACAAGTGATTATTGATCATAGTAATATTCAAATAATAAGTTTTTAATTGTTATAAACAATAAAAATAGGGACCCTTTCTATATATATGAGTACTTTTAACGCATAATTTTTTCGTTTACTAAAAAAATGTTACCAACCGTATGCCATAAATGAAAACATACTTTTTTCGTGTATAACAATGAAATTCGTTGTAAATAATGAAAAAAGGATCTATGAGGTACATTTGAATTCTTCTAACGCACAATTTTTTCTTTTACTGAAATAAAGTAACTAACCATATCAAATGAATAAAAACAGACTCATTTCGTTTATAATTAATAATCCATTTGTTATAAAAAATGAAAACGGGTTCTATTCAAATTGTTTTTTTATTTTTTCCACTGGGAAGTTGGTCGTGTGGACCTTTCGGGTCGCACCCAGACCACTGCAGAGCACTGATATTTTTTTCTATTATTTAACTTTATATATTTTCATGAATCCGTACAGCTATTTATACCATTATCTTAAGATTTCATCAATATTAATTATTTGATCAAAGTGTTCTTCTCATTGATGGCCGTGTTAAAAATAAAAAATTGAAACTCGAAATATTCATTTAACTTGCACAATGCTCAGAACAAAAAAAAGGCTACAGTCAGACTCCTCTAATTTCTTGACCCTCAATCTCCATTGGACAAGCTTTACTCTCCACTTGCACTGCTCAGCATGAAGCGATACTATGACTCTCAATTTTCAATTACGAAAATATGTTCTCCGAGTTTCGGAAATCAGAGAAATCTGACTGTATTTACTAGTCGTATGTGTATTTATTTTATATATCAAGTAGCGTATTATTATTACTTTCATGAAAAATGCTCGCTATATCTTAATCATCAATTCGTTGGAAATAAATTGAAAAACAAAATACGACTTAGTGTTTTCTCATGCCAATATTTCTTAACAGGACTTGAAATTTTTTTACACAGACGATTTCTCCAAGATTCTATAGGGAAATAAATAGATTGAAATAGGAAATGTGACTTAGAGAATAATCTTTCAACGCGATATTTCCCATTAGAATCTCGGCATCCAATTAATACAATGCTGGGAACAAAAGAAATCGTATAGATCACTGGATGTTAGAGGAGCTCAAACCTATTGAATAATGCAAAATCCTATTGAGGTTTCATTGATAATAAAAAAAAATTTCTAAGTCGTATTATCTATTTAATCACTCAGTCTCCTATTCAAATATCTTCTATCATTTCTTATAGAGATTTTTCGTTGCCTATAGAATTGCTAACTACCTTTTAAAATCATCATAATCCTATTCAGTTGTTTGAATAGGAAAGTTCTGAATCCTATAGCTTGTACGATCACCATTTGCACGATATACCTATTTGCAGCGTTCCTTTGTTGTTGGAACTTGTTTCACAGTTGGCAAAGAATATTGGGAGTAGGTCATGTGTTTCTTTTCTATATACGTTGAAGACATTTCTGGTTTTATGACCTACTTCTTTGAGGACTGATTTAATGCCATCGAGAGGGACTGATGGATGAAGAGATTTTATCGTTACTCTGAATGCTCGTTCTTGTTTGAGTTAGTAGGTGTGATAGACAGGTTGCTCTTGCAGGAGCAAGAAAAATAATAGAGATATTAACGCATGTTGTTTCTCCTGGTTTGCGTTCCCTAATGGGTCGTTTCGTCTTCTCTATGAGTCTCAAGCTCCATGTCTTGTAGCTCATCCTCGGATGCCATGAAAGTTCGTATTTAAAATGCATATTGACTGGACTACCTTGAATTATAATTAACTGTATTGTAAACACGTCTATACACCACAAGAGTCTCGTCGAAACTACTGCGAAGTGAATGAAAACAAAATTTCATTTTTGACACTTTAACGATCGATGGTATTATGGAATAATATGAGCAAAAAATGGAACTTATTTAATAGGAAAAATGGGAAAGTTTTATGCAACTCACCAGTTGGTGGAAACATATTTTTGTATTGTGAAAGTCATAGTTTTTTCAGTATAGTATAATGAAAAATGCATTAAACATTTATTAATTAAAATTAAAATTTTGTTAGAAAATAATCGTTTTGAAAAACAACTTTACTAATCAAGTAAAGTTAATTAAAATTATAAATAAATATTTTAAAATATTTTTCTCCATTTCTATTTTTCTGATAAAGTAAAAAAAATAATAATTTTCTTTAGTGTCTATAATAACTAAAAATTAACAGTTTTGGTAATTATCTAGAAAAGGTTGCACCCCTCCGATTTCGTTGAAATTTTAGTATGTTATGAGTCCAGTATCGTGCAATTAGAGACAGGGGTAATAGAAAATTTAACATTCCATTTTGAACCAAGGTTTTTTTTACGTAAAATTACACGAAAATTCAGAAAAGACCATTCGTGGAAAAAACATGTACACGTCATTGTGTTTTTTTGTTATATACAGTTTTTGCCTGCTCGAGCCCGCACATTTTAACTAATAACTTCTTAAATATTTAATAATCGACAATATTTTATAGAACATTTTTTATTTTTTACAGTGCAACGAAGATTTCTGTCACCGTATTTTTCTTATCTTCGACCTAATTTGAAGATATTTGATCGCAAAAAATTAAAAAAATCGTGCTAACTATTTTACAGTTACTATGACATTTTGTTGGTATTACAGAATATTTTGCAATCGATTTCAAAACGATATCTTAACGTAATATCGGAAAATTTGATCATTGTTCTTTTTCTCCTATGTATTACATCATTTGTAGAGATTGGAAGCCTTTTTTCATTGTTATTTTTGAAATTTATCAATACTCTGCTACTATTTTGTCTCTTTTATTCCTTTCAATGTTTAATTTAAATATTACAACCACTGAAAAATTACAATTATTTGATTCTCCAAACGCAAAAAAATACTGTAAGGTACGGTTTCCGCGCCCTATATATATATTCTTGTTCAGTTTAATTTTTTCTATAGCATACTAAAATTTCAACGAAATCGGAGAAGTATAACTTTATTTAAAAAATTATCAAAAAATTTTTTTTCAATACTATAGAACTATTTATATAAAAACAAAAAAAAGATTGCTACTCGAGAAGACGTTTACTTTGCTGAGGTTGCACTTTTCTCCTTATTATTTTAATATCGATACACTGAAAATTATGAATTAACAACAACAGTAACAATCAATGTTTACAGATGTGATATTCTCCAGTTACATAAATATATACTTAATTTTACTATTTTCATTTCATTAAATAATAATAATAATAATTTATATAATTTCAAGTTTTGTAACGAAATCTAATATTATTAAATAAATTATTTTTTCTTATTTTAACATTAGTTGAATGTGATTATAGAAAAATATAATTTATAGGATATGTTGTATAAGTTGATGCAAAAACAAATTATAATTATATTATTTTGTTCAGTATGAAGAGCTGCAATTAAACTGAAAATACCCTTATGACTATTTTTTGGAAAATATTTTTTTCATCATACACGCGCGGAAAGTTCACTTTTCCATTAGAGAAGGGTTGAACCTCCCACGCAGGTATGACGAATAATCATATTCAGCCCTAAGGAGGACAATCAAACTAGCTTAAACCACATATTTACCTCCCTCGTCTTCGGCTCGAGTTATAATTTTACACGTGGTTTGAGCTCGACTACTTTCCTTCCCTAGGTGTGAAATGTATTATTAGAATTATTTTTAAGTATTTTTGAGCTAGATTAAGATGAAGTTACCAGTAGGGGTTGTAATTGTAGAGTATTATCTTGATTTTCATTCGATTTTCTCTTGTCCCGAATACTTATTAAATTTCTATGTCCTGTGTCTTTTCTTTTTTTTCTCCATTTTCTTGACATTCTGAGATTTTTGGTATCGACAGTCTTTCTTCTTTCAGGACTGCTACTGCTATAAAGACTTCTACTGAAATTCGTATTGTCATTTCTTCTGCTCGATTTATTTAATTTTATCTCATTTTCTTCGTCAATACTGCTCCAACTTGCTTCGCTTTCACTCCCATTTTCGTATTTTTTTCTGACGTCATTTATTGCTTCTCCATTTTTTCTTTCTTCACTCTGTAAGAATTAATTGTTTTATAAAAAACTGGGCTCTATTAAACACATCTATATAAATGAAATTAGAGAGTCTGTCTGTGATTCTGAGAGAACTGCCTCAAACTTAGCTCAAAAATTTATTTGCGTGTTATTAAAACGTAAATGATCATTTTTAAAATTTTTGTCTGTTTGTTTGTTTGTCTGTCCGAGGTAATTTCGGAAACGGCTGAATTGATTTTGATGAAACTTTGCAGACATGAAGAGGTGAATGTCAGGAGTAACATAGGCTACTTTTTATTTATTTCAATCATTTATAACAATTGAATTGGTACAAAATAATTGAAAACGGAATCTATGTAACGCATTTATTTCTTTCATCCGAAAATTTTTCCTTCTACGGAAAAAGAATTACTTACAATTTAAAAAAAGTAGAAACGATCTTTTTTTGGTTATAACAAGTGATTTTGTAATGTAATTTTATTGTACTATACTTAAGAATCATAATCGATCTATTCTGATGTAAGCAATTATAAAAATTATGGGAACAAAGTGGCGGGAAGCGGCTAAAATATAACGTAATGATTATTTTTAATTTCAAGCTCGAGAGAATTCCTTTATAAATAAGTTGTTCGATCTATGACAAATCAATTAGAAATTGATAATTAAATGTGGATTTATAAATAGGAAAAAAATTGATCTTATAGTGCAGTTAATATGCTTTGAAAAACAGCAGAAATTGAAAATCCGTAGAACATTAATCGATTTAATTATTTGAGTCGTTTTTAGTAATAGCAGACGACAGTATAAGTTAGGGACCACATGGCAAAATGAGATTTTTTATTTACAAAGAGATCGCTTCTATTTTATTCAATATCTTAAAAACAACGTATCGTAGAACAGGACATGGTGTACATAATTTTAAAAGGTTTTTATGCGGAAATGAAACTAGTCTCAACTTTCTACTACTAATAATTTTCGAGATATTTGTTCGAGAACACTGTTCTGTAAATTTTATGTCACCGTGAGAGAACTCAAAGTCACATGTTACATAAAATGTGAGTCTCATGTGCCTCACATGTAACTTACAATTTCCCACTCATAAACGTAACACTGAGACGTAACGTTTTTATGTTCTTGTTACGTTTCAGGAAAATATAACTTTAATGTTACTTATCGATAACAATATTGTCCCGTTCTCAGTAAACACTGATATATCGTTGTAATATTGATGTGATGTTACTAATGTAACATAATTATATTGCCGCAATGTAACATGAATGTAATATAGATGTCACTATTTCCTACTCAGAAATTAGACAATGTCAGAGAAGAGAGACTAGTCTCTCTTCTTTGACAATGTGACATCACTTTGTGATATAAAGTGATATACTCGTTATATTGCATAAAAAAAATTGTTTAATGATAAATGTTGCTAACATCATTAAATTATACTTATTTTATCACAATTCTGTATTTTTTTAGTTGAATTTAATTTTTTATTGTAAATAAATATTTTGCCCACAGAGAGATTCGAACCTATGACTGTCTATTCGTCTATTTTAGTACTTGATATCTCAACAAGGATGTAGGTCGACACATGCAAATATTTTGATTAAATGAAAAAACCCTGAGATGCTAAATTCAGGAATAATTTATATTAAAAAAGTATGCTGATACAATATTTAAAAAAAAGATGTTCAAACTTTCACTGTTTTATGCGTGTATCCGTTTGTACAGCTCATCACATACTGCTCTCGCTACCTTTTAATTTCTACTCTCACACTTTATAATTTTAACTGAAACTAATACGCATTTACTCAAAACAGTATAAACAAAAATACACACATTCTACACATTCTTATCTGCTATCATTCCAAATACTCATTCTTAGTAACTATAACTCCTTTTAATTGAATAGTATGTCTCTACATTCGGCTATTCTGTAGATTGTATCGCTTCGATACACCCTAGTTGTCATTTTATTCATCATTTTCGTATTCCACAGTAGGTTCTTTCCATTCTTCATCGTTGAATTCCACTTCTGGATTATCAGTCTCGTAGTCAGGATCTTCTAGAGCTGGCTATGGCTTTATGTGATCGGCTGAAGCATTTGTACAAATGGGTCCTTCATGCTCACCTATTTTTTCAACTCGATATCTGTTATTTCTCATACCTGAAGTTACTTTATGGAGACCCAAAAACTTAGGATGAAATTTGAGTCCCGTCCCAAACTATGTTCTTCGGATTACTACAATGTCGTTAACCTTGTAATCATTTGCTTTTTTATATCTCTGATTGAAAGTCTCTCTGTTTTCTTTGTAACACGACGTTTCATTGTAAGAATCGTCCGCCTCATATCCCCTCGGTATTTTATTAGTTGACTGAGAAAATAGTCGGCTGAAATGTGACACTTGAAATTGCCTTAAAGTTATTATGGGAGGTCACGACAAAAATTACCGACTGACCAATTTAAAATCAATGAAATGATTAATGGTTGATTAAAAATTCGAATTATTGGTGAAGGCGTAGTTAAACCCTTCGCCCTACTCTTAATGAGGAAGCAATGGATAAACAATTCCTTACCAGAAGCTTCACTCGGTGGTTGTCTGTCTAGTTGAAAAGACATCCATCGGCATTGCTTGTTGGGCCGAAAAGACATCACTGTATTTTGTGAGTCTTACAGTTAATTATACAAAAGCAAACGTTCGTGAAGTTTGAGAGAAGATCTATTGTATTATTGGGTTTATTCTCACTGTTAGGGAAGCAGTTGGTGGCCAAAAAAAAATCGTTGGGAAAAGTACTCAGTAAGCCTGGATATCCAGCCGTTAGTGGTAGAACAGATCAACGACAGCTACAAAGAGAGCCATTTGCTGACCCTCGATGTAACGTGGAACGTCACTCGTAAGCTTTATTTCTATTTCTGCTAATGGACCTACTATTATGGTATAGCGAGCGTGTGTCGCGTAATTTTTATTGTATAATTTATTGAGTGATTAAGGAACGCTGTAGTCAGGAATTTTGGCAGTGACACGTATTTATCGTACTGTATCTCCAGATCTCCTTTGAGACTGGAATTGATTATTTTCTTAGACTCATGAGTAGTCATTTGATTAACGATTGATTGATCTAATTATTTGATTGATATTTTATTGTCTTATATCTGAGAAACTTATTGTACAATCTCGCTGATACTTAATTAACTGTTGTAATTAAATTAAAGTCACGCTGGTAATTATTCAGTTTAGGTTGCATACGCCCGATTTCCTTGAAATTTTAGTATGTTATACAGTTCTTTATGCTGAATAAGAATATATATACATATATGTATATTATGCTAATTAATTTGATATATATATATATATATATATATGGGGCGCGGAAAACATTCCTTCACATACTTTTTCAAGGTTGAAAGTTCGATAATAACGTGCATTAGATTTTATCTCAGTAGCACTTTATTCGATCATAATGATGTCATCACGCAAGAATTTGCACAACACATTGATTTCTTTATTTACATTTTTTTGTTATTGTCTGCTTCTATGATTTGCTTCAACATTTTAGTCAAAAATTTAGAAGTATGATATATATCATTAGTTGAAATATTGAAGCGAATATGATCACATAATATCAATTGTTGGAGCTTGCTCCAACTAACTAATTATATTTAATGTTGGAGAGAATTGAGTGTGGGGCAGAGGGGGGTGTTAAAAAGCTAGTCTAAATTTTTAACAGCCCCTCTCCAACATCAAGTATTTGCAAAATACCAACTATTCAAGATAGTGTACATTTCCCAATTTTCAAACTTTAAAAATTATGTGAAGGAATGTTTTCCGCGGCCAACATATATATATGTATATATATTCTTATTCAGCATAAAGAACTGTATAACATACTGAAATTTCAAGGAAATCGGGCGTATGCAACCTAAACAAAATAATTACCAAGACACCTATTAAGTCACAAGTTTACTTACAAGAACTCAAAATTTACTATCGAACAAAAATATTTTTACTTATAAATTTTGAAACGTGGGCTTGTCACTTTTTGCACTTAGATTTAGTGAAAAAATTGTCTCCGTGTACAGTCCACATAATTTCTGATTACCGTCCACCTGTAATCCATGTTTTATATTTTTCCCACTAGCTTACCGAAGTCAGAACAGACATTGACTGAAAAATCAGTGAATATTGATTGATTTAATTTTGCAGTTGAAATAAAACAATTATTTAAAACAGCTGTATTATATTCACTGATTTTGCAGTCGGTGTTATTATTTCTACTCTTTCGTTTTTAGACAGTAGCTAATCAATATTAATTTTTCTAGAACAAGATTTAATGGTTATTCACTAACTTGAATATTTGATAAGAATTATTATTTATTATTAGTACTATTTGAATTAATAATCCAACACTTGATTAACATAAAGTACGAAAAAATATTTACATCTAACATCGAACGAGCGTATAGAAGCCAGCACTCAACATCTTCAAAATCAAACAATATTCATTGTGGGTAATACTTGGATGGTGACCGCCGGGGAACACCACAAAACGGTAAAACGTCGCAGTGAATTTTAATTTTTATAAAATCTTAAATTCATTTATAATATATAGAATATGGACTGATGCTGAGGTCTCAAGGACCAAATCAAGATCTTATTAACACAGAATCGGTATCGTCCTTCATACTGATGATTCTGAATGTTCAGAATATTCAGTATTAAATTAAATACGAAAATTTCACCTCGGGTTCTAGAAAATATTACTAGAATTCTGAGACACTTTTTTTGGGAGTGAGACAATTTCTCATACTTGCTGATCAATAATATTAGAACAATGAGGTTGAGATAATTCTGCGCATTCAAAAATTCGAATTATGCTGCATTATATTGAATATTCAAGCGGGCTAAAGTCTCGGTTTCGTTGCGCGTGTAGGTTAAGCGGTCGTAAGTTCGAATCTCCTCAATAGCGTATTCTATATTAAATCTTACTAGATCATTACTAAATCAGCCTTTTCCGCAATATTTGAAATATGTGTGCGTAAAATTAGCACTTAATATACATGCGATATCTGACGAAAATAAATAGTCGATTGTAGAAATTCATATCTTTATGTTTTGAGACATTTAAAAGGTTAAAATATGGATGTATGTAAGTATGATTGTTGATCAATTCGATAAAATTAGCATCAATATTAGTAAAAAGTTCTTTTTGATTAAATAATACTTAAATTTATTGTAAACCTTGAGTATCTATTGACAAGACATTATCAGTAAAATTTATGTTGCTATAACTGCTTACTCCGTAGTGCATTACTAGGTGAATAAATTTTTACCTACCAAAGAGGTCGTTTTAGAAATGAAAGTAGATGTTCCAGTGGTTAGTGTTGTATCCGTTGTATCACTACTTTCACTATTAACTCTTATTCCAGTAAACAATAAAGCTCCTTCTTCTAAAGTGCAAACACGAATAAATCGTTTACCCGCTGACCAACTGTCGGTGGTATTCTTCGAATTTCCTCTGGTCATTTTTTGAACTATTCCTGTTGTCCATACACTTGCGTCACTACTTCCTGTGCTACTGTCGCTCCCAGTACTAATGTGACGCCAACGTTTTTCTAAATAAATTATCATATTAATATTGTAACAGAATATAATAAATAAACCCATTTACTCACTGTCATTTATTCCAGCAAAATTACTTGAAGTAATACCCAATCTTTTTAATAAAGGACTACCACCTTCTGGACTTTCTACGCTGTGTGCGTGAGTTATTAATATTCTAGGACTTCGTTTTGAATGATCTAATGCTAATACTTGACTTGGCTCACTTGCAGTGTTTGATGATTCGCGATAACCCATGAGATTGGTGATACTTGCGCTCGTTCGTACTAATTTCCCACTTCCTACTTTAATTTAAAACAAGTTTCAATTAGAATCTTTCTGAAAAAAAGTTATGTTTGAAAGAATAAATATCAAAAACTGTTTCTTTCGTTTGATAAACTATAAAATAATATCAATTCAAAAAACTTTGTAATAATTTTTTTCTCATTACCAAAGAGTACTAAAATCTAAAGTTAATTAATAGAAATGAGAAAATAAATACCCTTTAGGTGTGTTATTTCAATACATTCCACACATCTAAAATTTGAAATACCGCTAGTTTTTGAAATTATTGATTTCTAGGAATGAATAAATGGTATATTGACTGTTTATAGTTATAGGATTTTTTTAATACATAATATTTTCATTATTATAAATTAGCAAATATTTTTTTTCCACGGAGAAAATTTTTTTTATTAAATGTAAGTGCAAAAAGTGACAAGTCTACGTTTCGAAGTTTAGAACTACTAGGGGATCTTCATCAATTTATGTATAAAAAATATGTATGTATAGATAAATATATATGTATATATAGTTATAAACAACATGTTTATAATTTATATACCGTTATATCTTTGAAGTGAAAGATATTAGATATGCAAATAACTTTCTACCGTTTAATGAAAAACGCCTTTACTAAAAGGTTACGTTCGAATTGTCCGATATGAAATGTAATAATATAAGTATGGACATCCATATCGATTGTGTGTAGAAAAATTTAGAAACGATGTGAAGGACAAAGAACGTAGTGGACAGCTGAAATCGTATGCTGATATAGAATTGAAAGCATTATTGAAGGAAAATTCGTGCCAAACGCAAGAAAAATTTGCACTCATATTACAAGTGACTCAACAAGTAATTCCAAATTGTTTAAATATCATTCGAATTGATTCAGAAACAAGGAAATTAGATTTCACTTGATAGGTAAAAAAAGTGAGTTTTTACATCGTATAGTTACTGGTGATGAAAAGTGGATCAATTTTGATAACCCAAAAAAGGGAAAACTATGAAGACCACCTGTCCATGCTTCAACATTAACAGTAAAACCGAATATTTTTGGAAAAAAAATCACACTGTGTATTTGGTGGAATCAATTTGGTATTATATATTAGAAGTTTCTCAAACTGGGCGAAATAATTACTAGAGCTCTCTTTCGAACATAGTTGTCGATTTGTTTTGTTTTGTAAAATTTGAACCTGTTCTGGTCGATGGCACATGGCCTGTTTGAGAAGCACTTTACATCATATGGAGATACTAAAAATTGGGTCGATTCGTAGATAGCTTCCAAAAATAAAGAATTCCTTTGACGTGGTATCTGAACACTGCTAGAAAGATGGAAAAAAGTAATAGCTAGTGATGGACAATACTTTCAATAAAATACAATGTACTGTTATTCTACAATAAATTTTAAATTTCCAATTAAAAATGACGGAAAATTATTTGTACACCTAACGATGTTTTTTTAAATAATAAAAATCTGTAGTTCATAATATTTACTTTTCCAAATATAATTGATCGAAAATTTATCATTGAAGTTTCTGTAGTAATAATTACTACATTGTACAATGAAAAGATATAAAATTAATCGATTCCTAAAAAGATTGGAGTAAATTCGTAAAAATATTCATTTTTGACATTTATATGTAAAAAGGGTTCCATATTTAATTGACAAATTTACAACATATTTATATATATAAAAAATTCTAAGAATATTTATGTTGATATAGAATCTTGCTTTATTTGAGTTTTTAATATTTATTAAACAAAATTTTTAAAAATATATTTGATTTTTTCTAATGACAAAATCATTTCTATAAATAATAAGTTGAATATTAGATATTTTTATTCGAAAAGGATGTCTGACTTTCTATCGTGAATAAGTTTTCGAATGAGATGAAAAGTATACTTTAAAACCAACATAAAGCGACTCCGTACTATGAACAAGATTCGATAAGTGATGAAACATCATATTTTAATCTTATTCAATCTTTTCGATGCATTCATTCCTATCTATAAATACAAGAAATAAAATATAAGAATCGCATCAAAATAAAAGAAAAAAAATGTGCTGAGAAATTAAAAAAAGTTATCAAAAGTAAAGTCGTATGACTTTACTTGAAAATCATTGAATAAAATGAAAAAGTGTCTTAAAAATTATTAAATAATTTTTTTTTCTCTACATGAGAAAAAAATGTCAGAAGATACGACAAATCAGAAAAGTCAACAATAATCATAACTCTCTTAAGTTGACTGAAATCAGTTGAACATTCATAATCTCGATATTTGTCCATGTGTGCTATCACTAACTGAAATACTATTTTTAATTAAAATAACAAATTATCATAACAGAAGTTTGACTATCATTCAAGCTGACAATGTGAGAGTTTCATGGAGTAGATAGTTATGAAAAATACTTTTCATTAATTACGAAGAAAAAAAGATATTCGAGTTACCTGATTCAAAAGTTGGAACAGGCAAAGTATTATATGATGCAGCAGGTTGAAGTCTATGATTAAAATTGTTAATATTTCCACTTTCAAAACCTATTCCATTTCTTGAATTTGCTCCTAAATTTAAGAGAGCTTCACTCAGACGTCTTTGGAGTGGAGGAAACGGAAACAGAGATACTGGTCCGCTTCCCGATGGTCTTCTAGAACCTGCAACGCTCGGAGTTCTTGCTTGAATTTCCTGATAAAAAAAAATTATAATTCATCTTGGTAAAAGACATAAAAAGAGACGATATAGTAAGAAGTAATGAAAATGAAGGAAAATCAAAGAAAAATTATTTATGATGGATTTACCTGCTGCAATTCTGACTTAGTCACTTTTTTACGCCAGTAGTTCTGAACAGAACGACGAAGAGTTCGTGACTTGAGGCCGTAGAGTAAGCCGTTAATCGGTGGCGAACTAGCTAGTAAAAGTGAGGCCAAGGACACGAGTTGAGGATGTACGTGGAAACGACTTGCGGCACTGCAAGCTTCCCACAGGATGAGACCACAATAAGGAAAATAAAGTAGATAGAGTGATCCAACTAATTGCATGACCTAAAAATTTTTTAATACAGTACTGTTGTTCAAAGTGATTAATCTTTGAGTAACATGCTCTAATTTTTTATTTCATTAGAAAATTTTTTAGAAATATAATGGTTCATTCATTAAGTTGCTATGATTATTTTTGTTTGTTTTTTTTTTTGTTTTTGAAAATTTCAATCACCATGTTCCAATTCATGGAATATTTTGCATTATAATTGATACTTTGGTATAGTTTTTCTTTTCAATTTCTCATAAGGTTGAAAAAAATAAAAACATTGTTTACAGATTTTGAATAGAGATAGTATATTTTTTGAGTCATTTGTTAAAAAATGTAAGACAAATAATTATTGTGGATATAACTTGTTAAAGTATTTATTCATTAACTTAATAAAGTATAGAATTTTTTTTACGTGATAGAGAATAGTAGGTGGGAAAAGATAATTAAAAATGATAAAAATTTTAAAATACCTTAAAGATGGAAAAAAATATATGATATTTAAACTTCAAATCTATCACCAAAGTACTACACATAAGACTTTGACGTAACTGTATTAAATATTCACTTAATACATTCTTATCAATATTCAGTCGTTACTTAGTTATAAAACGCTATTAACATTGTAGCAAAGTTGTTGATAAATTAAAATTAATTAAAATATTAATTAATCATGAAGAAAAATAGAAAATGTAAAATAACTGAATAATTCATTTTTTACAAAGACGTTCTTGGGGTGATTTTTTCATTAATAATTTCATTCATTTCAAGATTTTTTAGTTTTCTTCTGATTATTAATAATTACTTTTTAAGTAGTTTTTTCTATTTCGATAAGATGAAATAATGAATAAATAAATTTGTATTATAAAATGAATTTAAAGATAGTCAATTTAATAGTAAATATTAAAAACATGTCAATGAAGGATTAATTAATAATTAATAAAATTAATAAACTAAAAGAATTACTAACAGTACTGGCAGCACTATGAAATTTAGGTGGACCTCCAGCAGCTGGTGTAGTTACAGTAGGCATAAAAAATGGATTTCTCTGATGAGTAATGGTCACCTGGGCACTGAGAGTGACTTCATAAATTGCACTAGCTATTCGATGTCGATGATAACGAGCTATTCCAAGAACTCTAAGATTACAAATTGTTACTAGAATAGCAGGAAGAATTAAGCCCAGAAATACATAAACGACAGCATAGATGATATTAGCAATAACTTTAAAATCATGGCCAAAGTCAGGAATACAGCAACCAAAGTGCGAATTGTATTTGAAAGGAGATACAGAGCCTGAGAGTGGTGGTAGACAGAGTAATAAAGCACCCGTCCAGGATGCAGCTAATCCCAGAATAACTCTTCTTGGTGAAACCACTGCGGTGTAGTGAAGAGGTGCAGCTATTGCATAATATCTGTAAAAGAAAATTTTCAGTTAATTCTCTTTGGTAAGATATTTTTTGATATTTGTATATCGACAGTGATTCTTTACGTTCCACTTTAAATAAGTATTTCTATATTGTTGTTCAGTAAAAAAACAATTTAAGTTTGGCTAAAATAAATATTATTAACAGGCACGAAAAATTTTAAGTTACACTCGAATGATTTTTTCAGTCTATAAAATCATATTGTAAATAATTGATTTCATCTTTATTTATCTATCAATGAATGATTTACCATAATGAATTTTTCATTTAAACAGATCCGAATATAATTATTATTAAAAAACAACTTTCCGTAAAAAAATTAGGGACTCGTAATTGAGTAAAAATATTTTGCAGTAGATATAGTCGAAATAATAGCATTGAAAATTATATAGAACAGGTGTAAATAGATTCTAAAAGAATCAAAAGATGAGAAAAGTCTTTATAATTCAATTATGATAAAGTAAAATTTCTAAACCATCTTAAAGTAAATATTATGTAATATACTATTAATTTCTAATTTTAATTTTAGAACGAAATACATAAAAATTGAAAAAAATAAAAATATGAACTTTATGACATAAATATTAATTAATTCTAAAGAAAGACAGAAATTCTTGACGATTAATCTTAATTTGATGTTTTTTCCACAAGCACTGATAAAACTAATGAAAAGTTTTTTTTTTAACTAGATAGCAATTCCAAGTACAATAAGAACATATATAACTGATCATTTTTCTACGAACTAAAAACATAAAAAGTTCAAATATTAAAATTATTTTCAAAAAAATTCGTAATCTTTGACGATTAGTTCGGAAACAGCACCAATATAAATTTATATTAAAACTTAATTTTCTGATATGGAATTCATTCTTTTTATAGCTTTTATTTATTTATTCTAAGTATTTATGTCTATAATACAGCAGCATAGAATTTGGAATTTGTTTGATTGAAATAAACTTCAATTCATTTTCTAACAATTGTAAAGTATGTTTATCACGGCGATGAAGTTTTTATTGAATTATATTATTCAATTTCGTACAATTTAAGCAATACATTCGAATTCTTGCAAAATGATATTCACTAACTAGAAAAGAATTATTATTGAATGAAAAAAACTTTTTTGTTGAGTTTTAAATATGTAATTTAGATTTAAAAAAATAACAAGCTAATTAGTTTTTTAACAAATTTTCAATGGTTTATTATTTCTTATTTGGTAAATGTACATATGTTAAACGAAGTATTTTGTGTAAAGTTTATACACATATGCATGTATTGATAAAAATTTACTTTCTGAGAAAGTGCCATTTTTCTAGGTTTATACTTGATTACCTGTCACCATTAAGTCCAGTCACTGTCCACAGAGCAACAGGGTGCAAAAATGTGAGTAAAAATCCATGTAGCATACACCAGGTACTAGTGATAGGCCAAAAGCCGGTCGTAGATATTAGAAAAATAAAACAGATAGCGAATTCTACAGCTCCAAGATGAATTAGGAGAATAGTGTTAGAAGTTTGTTGTTGTTGCGTCTTTAAAATATGAATAAATTATTAGACAATAAATTTTTTTAAAAAACCAGGAAAATTGTGAAAAACTGGCTGAATAATTAAACTTTTTCTTATCAATTATGTTTTTATTATGCGATTAATTAAAATATATTATTAACCTGCTTGCCAAGGCCAACTACTACCAGAAGTACACAAGCATTAAGAAGGAGACCCAGAGTAGAGACTATGATAAGTGGTATTCCAAACATCCAAAGCCCCATTCCTCTATTTCCTCCGGGTTAGAGAAAACTTTCAATTTAATTTTTCATCCATTTTCATTTTGGTATGCGTAAATATTTGAATTGCATTTTTATTTTTCTGAAAATTTTAAAATAATCCTTTTTAAGAGTATATTTTATTCATCTAAAATACTTATTTTCAATATTGTGTAACAGAAGCAATTAATTTACAAACAGTGTTATATCTATATTCTTGATGTCTATATTTTGTATTAAAATAAATATTCAAAATTTCTTTGCCAATTAAATGTTTCTCTATTTTTCTTTTTCAATTTAACTTTTTAAAAAAATATTCAATTTTGTTGATATCGCGATTGATTAATATTTATTTATAATTGAGTAAAATTAGTTAAGTGAATTGCACTGTTTCAATTGGGAGATAAAAATACTTATTTATTAAGAAATGCTATAGTTTCGAATCCCAAATATTTAATCTTTTTTTTCATAATAATAAAGATATCTCCGAAAAATAATAATTATTTCAATCCATAGATGGAGACATTCATATATTTTACAATATAATACTTATTGAAAAATCGTTTACTTCTAAATATTAACATTTGGAATGACGCTTTTTTCAATAATATCATAAAAAAGATATTGACTAATCTTTTATTAACACTTTTTATGAAGCGAAATGCGTCATGTTGTGGGCACTTAGATTATTTTATTGTTCGTATTGAGAATACAAGGTAACCACATTTTTATTCATATTTATGCATATTAAACATACATATAAATATATTTAATGTATATGATGTATGTTTACTTAAATCTGTCTTCAATACTTGATAAAGATTTTTTACATACATTATAATAACGTCATAATAATCTCATCAAAAACAGCCCCCTCTTTCTGGGCTGTACAAAAATGTGCGCCAAACATAAATAACGACAATGATGAAATGACAAAAAGTCCTAAAATAATTAAACGCCAATTATTTAAATCTACAAATCAACAATATTTAAAATGAATTATTTTCTTTGGTTTTTTTTTTTTCTCTAAATTTAGTACGTTTAATGACGCAATAAACATAACAACCAAAAACTTGGCGTGACTGTTAAGATTTTATAAAAGCATGAAATTGTGAAAATATTAAAAATATTTAAGCCAATTAATAAATAACAGTTACGCCAAGTTTTTGGTTGTTATGTTTATTGTGTCATTAAACGTACTAAATTTAACCGAAGAAAATAATTCATTTTAAATATTGTTGAATTTGTAGATTTAAATAATTGGCGTTTAATTATTTTAGGACTTTTTGTCATTTTATCATTGTCGTTATTTATGTTTGGCGCACATTTTTGTACAGCCCAGAAGGAGGGGGCTGTTTTTGATGAGATTTCACCATTTTTTGTACATATCAACTGAAAAGGTATTTTATCTGTTCAGAAAATATTTTAATTATTTGTATATTCGCGCTTGAGCAAAATTAACTTGTTACCGACTTTATAATCTGTTAGTGAGAGAACTTCATAGCAATTAAAAACTTTGATCACCAACTTGATAAAAAAAAACGTATGATTGCTCCATGAATAAACTCTCATTTTCCTTAATTTTTGTGCAACGAAATTTTTTCAATTTCGTATATTATGAATGAAGCAATGATAATACTTCATAGTATGCTTGATCGAAAGTCAACGATCGCTTTCCGAGCAAATTCTTAATTTCAGCCCATGTTTATGTTATAATAAGAAAAAAATTTTAAATTTAAAAATTATAACCTGCAAAAATCATCTTATACTTTGTATAGAGACACGGTAGTGCCTCGTCGTGACGTAAGGGTTAAATGGCGGCGATTTATGCTTGGCGCACGAGACACTACCGTATCTCTTGATAAAATAATCAACTTGTTTTTTATTTTCTAAACAAATGATAAATACATTAAAGAGAAGAATGACTATGTCTAATTATATGAGCTTTCAATCTTCACCACTCATCATTTAAAGCAATTTTTGATACTCCTTCATTTTCGCACGTGAGGTTGGAATTTACAATAAAATTTTACTATTTTAACATTAGAGATACGTAAAATGTTTTATTTTTCAAATTTTCATTATGTATTGAAATGATTACAGATTTTGGGATAATTTTTATTTAAAACTTTTTTGATTATTTAACTAATTACATAAAATAAGACGAAGATTCATGACCAAGATATTTGTGCATTTTGGTATCACTGTAGCTGAGACAATATTTGTTTTACTAAAAAAATAATAGACTTTTGGAGATATTTGGTTTTTCCATTTTTCGATAGGCTGTTTATATATTTCCAATCTTAGATAAATTTTTAGTGAGGAATTCATTTCATATAGATATGATTCAATTTTTTTAGCAATGTTATTGCTGTATTAAGATGTTTTGAATTTTCAGAGTATGTCATCCTATGTAGGTAATTTAATTAGTGTGTCGATACTGGTTCCATTATCGACTATTAACAAAGTCTCGATGTCAACCTATTTAAGCACTACTCGCGGAAGTGCTCGTTAGAATTGATAATTATGAAACAGTATGTTTACGAGAGCACTATATACATTTTCTCTCAGCAAATTCGTTACTCTCATCAATTTAACTATGTTGAAAATAACATTACCCAGCATGAAATACTTCCAAATATAATATAATCAATATTTTCAGAATCTAGTGCCCGTACTGTATAAGCTACTCGTTAATATTACCTTTCAGCTATGAACTCATCTGTTGAAGTAATAAAATCATTTGGTTGCGGTTAGGTGCTCGCAATTCTTTTTAGTCATTATTTGAAAATTTCATTTTTCAAGTTTGTAAGAATCTTTGTTACGTACAAATATACCTTTTTCATGAGCTCTGGTAGAAATCGTTCTACGATTCCGAGTAAAGTCTCAGCCGAGTTTTGATAAGGTCTTCCTAGTTACGTTACTAGTTGAGCCTGATTGAGCTTTTCGGGTTAGATTCATCCAATCAAAGTCATGTTAGATAAAAATCAGGCAATTGGAATTGATTCCACCCCATTGAATCCTTGCTAAAAATATGTTAAATTTAAATTATACTACAATGCAGCTATTTGTAAATATGTTATTTCTTAATTTATTGTATAGGAAAAAGGTACACATATGGTATATTGATTGTATTGTAGCAGTAAGCGTAACATAGTCATTGCTCATTTTTTTCTTAATGTAGTGATGGAATAATATTACGTATAGAGTGATTATATTCATCTTTGAAAACTTGACTCTTTATATTTTTTCAGTATGTATGTAAATAATTCATCTATTATATCTCAATGAACAAATTTTTCTACAGTAAATGTAATGCCATCTCTCTATTGATACAAAAAGCCATAACAATTTTGTTCACATCTAACCTCTTGCTTAAAAAAAATATGACGTTGAATATTGAGTGCATGATTTAATCAATTTTCTAAAGGATATTGAGTAGGTGATTTTAAATGTGAAATGAAGATAAATGAAAAAAAAGTAAATAAATGTGTGCTTTAAACCAAAATAAAACCTAGAATCAATAAAGAAAGCATTGAAGAAATAAATCGAAAAATTCCTGAAGGAATGATGAGAGTTCAAGATCAAGGAGGAGAAAGGATAGTAAGAAGAAGTAATGATGACGACAATGATGACTTGAGATACGTGCAAAACATCATTTATCGCTCGATTGTATTTATGTGTGGGTTTATGATCTTTCTATTTATTATGATGGGTGTTATTGCAATTGGATACTTTTGTTATCTTAGTTAAAATAAGCATTGGACTTTATAATTATTTGAATGATTAAAGTTAAGAATCAATTAATTTTCAAGTATTCTTAAAACTATGTTTAATATCATGAGAAACAAGATAGTAAAATTTATAAAATGATAAGATTCTCTTTAATAATAATAAATTTAGTGACTGATGTAATTTATACAAAAATTTGAATATAAAATTTTTTAAAGTGATTTTAGCATTAATGAAATCTTTTCTAGTACAAAGAAAAACGGTTTTTTCTGTGTGAGTTGTTTGGAGGTCAGAAAAATAAATAGTCATCAAGAAATCATATTTTACACTAAATAACAATTCAAGAGTCTTTAAGTGTATTGAACTTTTAAATAAATGGTTGTATTAATCTCTTTCTTGAATTCCTAAAAAGTGACTATGAAAAAATTTGAAATTATCAATAATATCAATATAATATAATATAAGTACCATGGCGTCGTAAAAATGACAGAAATATTGCGGGTAATCACATTACCTAGTATTGTAAAAAATTTGGTAATTATATAGTATTACTCCGTCACTTTCGATTTCGTTGGAAATAAAGTATATTGTACTTTTAATGATGCTGATCAAGAATATGTGTATATATATATAAAAATTTAATTATTTCGATTTCTACGATTCTAATCTTCTCGAAATCTCTCATACGAAATATACAGTCCAGTCAAATTAGACTTGAAATAGTAATTTTCCAACCTCGGTCAAACTTGGCAAATTTAGTATGCCTAGAAATATTTCAGCCAAGTTTGACCAAGGTTGGAAAATTTCCATTTCAAGTCTAACTTGACTGGACTAATACCTGTACAATAGGATACGTATTGTACAGATAAATAAAGAAAAGATCTATGAAGTAGGTGGAGCTAGGGAAGGGGTGATTATACTTCGGAGCAATATAAACGAAAAAAAAAATTTTGAGCAAAATTGCTGTTTTTATTTTCGATTGATTTTCTCACCTACGATCTCAATTATAAATAAAAATTTTAATTCGCTCTAGAAATTTTTTGTTTATATGGATTTGTTGTTTAAATATACATCTGAAATAAAATTTATTAGTAACTCTGTCCGAAAATATCCTTCAGCTGGGCTGTAGACAGATTTCCCCCTAGAAAGTTTCTAGCAAATTTATCTCTACAAATGACGGCGTCGAAAATTGATGAATTTAGTTAATTCAGGACTCAATCGAAAGCTTATTTTATTCTTCACATCAGAAAAACAACAATATAATAACATTAATTACTTCATCATAATTTAAAATGAAGATGAAGATATGCACTCATTTTTCA